AACCTTTTCGCCGATCTTAAAGCTCGTTTTAAGCTCTTTATTCTTGTTATCCGCCTTTGTTTCATTCGGAAGGAATTTGTCAAATACCGACTTTATTTTCCTGGCAAACATGACCTCCGCTTGCGTCTTGACAGATGAGGCACAACTATTAGGAGTTGACCGATAGACCTTTGAAAACTGTTGAATAGCCGTATCGGTGTGAATACATCTCACCTTCCTCAGAGCACTCTTAAACTTATCCACAAAACGCTCTGCCTGTCCATTATTTCTTGTGTGATATGACGTCGTGGTAACATGTTCGATCAGGAATGACTGACAAAAATCCTTAAATTCACACGATGTAAATTGTGTGACATTGTCTTTTACAACACAGTCAACGACTCCGAAACGGCAAATAGCTCGTGTAAAAACATGACTGCCACTTCCGCGGTCGGCTTCTTACATTTCAATATTTCTGGCCACTTAGAATGACTGTCAACTTCTACGAGGTAGTGAAAACCATCAAGCAGTCCAGCAAAATCAATATGTATCCGCGACCACGGACGGTCGGTTTTAGGTCAGGGATTGAATTTTATCGGGGGTGCTTTAGCAGCCAAAGCATGTCCTTTGCACGATTTTACCGTGTTTTGAATATCCCTATCCATGTAAGTCAAGGAGACATAACTCCTCATCAGAGTCTTCATCCTTGAAGTTCCCGGATGGCCAACATGGAATTCCTTTAGTGTACTACTCTGAAGTATAGGTGGGATTACTACCCTGTCTCCGTACATTAATATGCCGTTACAGAGTGAGTAGACTTCTGACATACTCTGATCTTTGCTTTTTAATTTGTCCTTTACTTCCATTATGAAGTCATCCTCGGACGCTTTGTCTATTATTTCGTTGACTGTAATTGGAAGCTCTCTGGCAATATTGTACAAGGTGATTTTTACGTCGACCTCTTTTCTTATGGCAGCAATGACTGTGTCTTTCAGAGGTTCAGCATATTTAGGTCTCAATCACCATAACCCTTCATGGCAGATTTTAGTATATGGGCGATTGGCTTTTCGATGCACGCCCCGATACCGTAAGATCTAGCAGCGCTGGCTACAATGATGTCAAGGTTTGGATCGTAATGAGTCCGGAACAGACCTGATGTAAGGACCTCCTTTATTTTCTCAAATGCTTCCTGGCATTCGCTTGCCCATGCCCACTCTTTGTCTTTTCTCAATAATTCATTAAGTGGAGCTCTCAAACAGTGCATTCTTGGAACAAAAACGTTATAATGATTGGCAATACATAAAAATCTTTGAAGAACCGACACATCTTCAGGTGCTGGCATATTCTTTATTGTCGTTGCTCTATCTGGGTCAGGGCGTCATCCATCTTTGTCAATTATTTATCCCAAGTACTTAATTTTCTCTCGGAAAAAAACTTACACTTTGTGTCCTTTACTTTGAATACGTAACCCTCGATTCTCCTGAACACTTGCCAAACGTGCTATTTGTATTCCTCGATGCTCACACTTTTCATTAGGACATCATCGAGATAGGCCACCTCAAAATCCAGTCCATTTTACATTGTGTCCATGACCTGTTGAAAAATGGAAGGACCTTAATCCCCAACAGAAGTCTTAAAGATTTTTATAAACCTTGTGGGTGTTTATACAAAGGAACTTCGAACATTCCTCGTCAACGGGTATTTGTAGATAAGCATTGTTTAAGACGATCTTAAAGAAATATTTTCCTTCACTGAGCTTAGCGAATATCTCCTCTGGACTTGGAAGAAGATAATGGTAATCCTTTAGGGTGCTCTTCAGACCCGTAGAGAAATCAGCACATACACAAATTTCTTTGCTCTTCCTTTTAATGTAAACTGTGGGAGATGCCCATTCGCTATAGTCAACCTTTGCCAGAACGATTCAATTCTTCGTCAGTTTGATTTAACGAGGCAAATGGAACGTTATGTTTTTTCTTAAAAACTGGGTTTACATCTGGCTTTAATTTAAACTTAGCAGGCATTTTTGTGCATTTTCCTAGTCCTCTACTGAAAACGTTGGAATTTTTTTTTCAAAGTTCATCTTTCAATATTTCTGCTTCGTTAGTCAAATTTTCAACTTTTTGAAATAATGAGTTAATAGCCATATCCCAAAGTTGAAACTGTTCTAACTAATCAGTCCCGAACAGATTACCCGTATTCTCTATAATATACGCCTTTAGTTTTAACGTTTTACCTTTGAATTGTGACGTCGTCCCCCGGTCGCAGCGCCAACTGTGACGTTCTATCCTGATCTACCACGGCGCCAGTTCTGACGTGGCCGTTCCAGGGTCCTATCCCGGTCACGACACCAGTTGTGACGTCCCTAAACAGCACCAATTGTGACGTCTTCGCCGCGGCGCCAGCTGTTCTCTCCTCGCTGCTCCGTCCGGGTGTCGCTGCTCCAAACGTGACATTCGCCTGTCGCGTCAGTCGTGTTGTCTCGTACTGTGACGACCAACTGGCTTGGTATCGGTCGCGGCACCCAAATGTGACGTTCTAACCTTTTGGTGATTCGGGTGGGAATCTGGTTAGATTTGATATCAGCCTCGCCGTTCCCAACTCGTTTCCAACGCCTGGTTACCTTGGTCAGCTATCTTGGTCTATCATCTCTGCCGCCAGGGCCGAACGAACTGTCTTCTGCCCGTCAGGGTCCGAACTAACTCTCTTCTGCCCGCCAGGGTCTGAACTACTGGGCACTCATTTCTGCCGTCAAGGCTCGAACTACTGGGCACTCATCTCTGCCGTCAGGGCGCGAACTAACTTCTGCCCGCCAGGGTCCGAACTAACTTCTACCCGCCAGGGTCCGAACGAACTGGGCACTCATCTCTGCTGTCAAGACACGAACTACTGGGCACTCATCCCTGCCGTCGGGGCGCCAACTGATTTCTGCCTGTAGGGGCCTCGTTTTTATTGACACCGTCAAAAACCGGGTTTGGTCTGTTGGCGTCGGGGAGTTCCTCGATAATTCTAAATACATATCCACCTCTTTTATTTCTGGTTAGGGATTTTCCACTCTTTTCCATTTTTGGTAACTTTTTTTTCACTCCCACTTTCTCACCATGCTTCTGAGCGGCGTAAACTGTCCTCCCCACTTCTTCGTAGCGGCTTCTCATGCTTATACTTTGGATGGTGGCGTCGACAGTCTTCTTCGTGCGTCACGTGATCACTCTCGGCCAATGAGGTCTTGGTCGGGTATCTTTCCTCCTCCTTCGTGCGTCATGTGATCACCACTTGACCAATGACATCTTAGTCGGGCGTGAACAACCCGCGGCTTTGTTTTGGAAAAGAAATACCTTGCTTAACTAAAAAAAAATTAATTAAATCGCCGTTATCATGAACGGATAATATGACAACTCTTTGTTCAACACGTGGCGTTTGTCAAGCAGTTTATCGCTAAATCATCAGACGGCTGGTTTTTCCGACATGGTCTCAGAAAAGAATTTTCTCCAAGTTTTCAGTCAGTCTGACGTCTCCAAGACAGAAATAAAAACATTTCTTATTCCATTCATTTTCCTTCGGTTCATGTGTCTGATAACAAAATTTTATTATCGCAGGGCAAAAGTCTGTTTTGTCGAAAAGAACTTAACTAGCGAGACGGCTTGGGTGGGATTTTAATTTTCTATATCCAGCTAAGGCTCCAAGCTACCCCTGTGTTTTGTCAATTATCAAAATCTAACGTTTTCAAGTGGACTTTCTTTGGCGAACATTTCTTGATAACACAATTCTATTCGCGCAGGCCAGTAGGAAAATCGGTCAATGATTGCTCGCCGGTGGCCTGTGTTTTGATAGTAAGATGCCTTCTCGTACCAATAGTTTAGATAACACTTCCCTACCCAATCAATCTCATTGTCATTGTAATGACACTCCTTTCGGCATTTGCCACTTATCCAAAATAACCTTTTTTTTTATTGCCTCTTAAGCCGTGTGTGCGTGTTCGCCTATGATCCGTCTCGCATTACTTTTTCCCTTCCTTTCTCCTTTTCTTTCCTTTTCCCTTTTTGCCTTTCTTTCTCTGCCTGGATGCGTGGTGACACGGAATGACACGTTCGTAATAAGTTCGCCCATAAACTTAATAGGGTCGCCAGTTGCTCCTTTAGCTATTTGGTTCGTTCTGAACAAAGTCGGCTTTCCCAATTTCTTCCATGTTTGATAATTAATTATGGATAAGTCAAAATCCGAATCCAGCTGTAGCCGTATATTTTTGTTAAATATTTGTACTTCAATATATTTTCTGATGTTACTACATTCTGGTTCATCAGACTTGGTAATTTTTACAAAACTTTTTTTTTGTCTTGCCTTTAATCCTGCAGTGGGAACTTTTGTGTCCCACTGTATCGCAATTAAAACATTTTTTTTATCTTTAAAAGGACAATCTCTATACCAATATAATTGACCACATCCGAAACATGGTCTTGACGGCAAAGTAACTTTAATATTTTTTGGTTGGTCCTTTTTAATTTTTCTTTGGCGTATTTTTTTTTTTTTTTATGCGAGCCACAGCACCCTTTTCGATGTTTTTCGAATCCTCTCTGACGCTCATGAAACGTTGGCAATCTTCGGCAAATTGATGTAACTTGCTCGTTTTCAGGCTTGTTGAGCACCCAACGGCCTATTTCGGCGTCTTTCGCTAAAATCAAACTCTGGATGAAAATTAGGCATTTAAAATTATTGGCACTTAATTCTGCCAATTTGAAATCATCGCAGTGCTTATTGACTACACTCGCGAAATTAGTATAATCTTCGTCTTCTTTGCGGGTGAGATTCATGCATTTCCAACGCTTGTGGAACAGTGATGTTTTTGGACTGAAGAGTTCTGTTAATGATTGAACCGCCTCTTTAAATTTCAAGTCGCTGGTTTTCTTAGGCAAAATATAGTTAACAAACTTATTATATTCTGATGTGCTTAATTTCCTGAGGTGTAGGAGAATCTTTTTTATGGTCAGCCCAATTTGCACAATCTGAATTCTATAAGCCCTCGTATCGTTTAAAATACGACGCGAACGTAATTTCATTTTCAGGTGCATACATGAAGTTTTCAATAGCACTCCATATAGCATTTAGGGAGAACGCATTCTCGCTATCCTCATTTTGTCTTTTGTGGATAAGTGCCTTTGCTCATTCTGTATTTAAAGGAACAATTCCTCGAGCTTCTGTTGTCTAACCAGAATTTCTAGGTGCAGTTTTTTTTCTGCTTGTTCTCATTGGAATTTTTCTTGATTTTCTTGAAATTTTTGCTCCAATAGCAAATTTTGTTCCTGTTGATGTTTTAAAAAATCTAGCATTGCACTTTTAAATTCGTCCATTTTACTGCGATGGTACGAAAAGTTAAGAGATAAAGAGGGATTTTTTTTCACTTAGCCCACAATAACTCTGTTTTGAATGATTCTTTTTCAGAAAAATTTAAAAGCGGGAGAGGGGGTAATTATTTTACTCTATTAGTGAAAACAATAAGTCTATTTGACTTGTGCAGTTCTTTTACTGTCTTGTTGGAATAGAAAAAAATTCACCAACCTTTTTCCCAACCACTGAATTGAACTTGTAGAAATTCTATTTTTTTTACGGAGTTTCTTTTTTTTTTTTTTCACTAACAGTGACGTAATTAACACTGGATAACTATTTGCCGTAGAGTTTCTTTCTTCACCATTGTAGTAGACACTGGAAAAAATTCTTATGATTTAACGTGAAGTGAAGAGCATTTCTTCAGTCTTTCGTTGCCAAGATGTTATACAACAATTTTAACATGAAGTTCGTTTCTTCGAATCCTCGTCTTCAAGATGTTGTGACCAAATAATTGGTTAAGGAATAACAAAATAAGAGGTTGCAGATAAATCGTGTATTGCACAGTAAATACAACAGAAGAGTGTTACACGACTTGGGAATGTGTGTCTGTTGACCAGCGTTCAGTCTATATCACTGTTCCCCCGAGGCTTACTTTCCTACTAAATTTATAGTAAGTGAAAGAGTTCACAATAGCACACCACAACAGATAGATAGGAAGAAACTGATAGATAGACAGACAGACAGACAGACAGACAGAAAACCATACATGAAATGACTCTTAGACAATTAGATAGGAAGACAGTTTGATAGATAGATAGATAGATAGATAGATAGATAGATAGATAGATAGATAGATAGAAAATCAGACACGAAATGACTCATAGACTGTTAGCTACAAAGAGAATATGATAGATAGATAGATAGATAGATAGATCAGACATGAAAAACTCATGGAGAGTAAGATACGAAGGGTCTTTGGAATGACTCATAGACTGTTAGCTACAAAGAGAATATGATAGATAGATAGATAGATAGATAGATAGATAGATAGATAGATAGATAGATAGATACGAAGAGAGAGAGACAGACAGTCATATAGATAGATAGATAGATACGAAGAGAGAGAGACAGTCAGATAGATAGATAGATAGATAGATAGATAGATAGATAGATAGATAGATAGATAGATATGAACAATTTCGGTAAACATTAACTAATATAAAGTACATTTATTAGGACATGTTTAGATATTTAACACAACAAATAGTAAAGAAACGAGTTAGATCGAAAGGCAAATGTAATTTGGCTGCAATGCGTAGAATTCTTCTAACAAGGAACTGAAAATCCGTTTTTCTATCTCTTTCCGTCCCTTGGATATATGGTAAAAAAATCGGTTGTCGATTGTAATCTCACATCTACTTGCCTATATACCAAGTACTAAGACTTCCTTTTCAAAATAAAATGAAGCTTGTTTTTTTTTATGTTTCAAATATTGTTTTTCTTCTCGAGGCAATCCGCTTGAATCCTGGGAAAACATGGTGCCTTTGCCATGGATAAAAATGTTTCTGCTTTCCTATTAAATCGGGAATTTATATCCTTTTCAAAAATTGTGTCGGACACGAAATTTCTACCTGAGGAAAAAAAATCAACCGTTTGACATTTCTAGTATAACATATATGCAGACCAAATAGAGGATATGAGAACGGTTAGGCGGTGACTAATAAGTTTAAGTAGGGAGTGAGAGGGAAACGCCACTCGACGAAAGGCTCATTATTAGCGAAAATGCCTGGCTAACGATGGAAATCTTTTTATTTAGTTGAATGATTGCCCTAACCAACGATGTTATTATGGTAGCTCAACATGATGTAGTGTTTGCGAGATCATTAACTGTCACCTCCTCTCTTCTTCTTCTTCTTCTTCTTCTTCTTCTTCTTCTTCTTCTCTCTCTCTCTCTCTCGCTCTCCATATCGCTGAGTTACACATGTATATATATATGTATGTATGTATGTGTGTGTGTGTGTGTGTGCGTGCGTGTGTGTGCATACATACACATAGATAGATAGATAGATAGATAGATAGATAGATAGATAGATAGATAGATAGATAGAGCGAGCGAGCGAGGAGAGGGGGTACGGTGAAATAATTGATAGCGGTTTGGATTGAGAAATCGGAGAGCCGAGTTCGAATTCCAGTCGAATCCATTACATACATTGGGAAAGGTATGAATCCTCTTCTTCTCCCTCCAGCTATGGGTAAATAGCAGGACAGACTGGGTTCTATAGCCTTGGATGGCAACTGGTCTAGGAGAAGGAAAACTCTGAATTCAAAACCTGCGGAGGATCATTTGGGGACACTGTGGCACTTAGTGCATCAAGTGTCTGTATTCGGCCCTTCAAAAAGTGTGGATGGTTCTGCACAAAAACCATCACCACTACAATCAAATCTCATGTGCTGATTTGAAAAGACACTCAGATGTCGAAACCGACGAGATGGTCCATCACCATATATTTACACACACACACATACACACACACACACACACACACACATATATATATATATATATATATATATATATATATATAGAGAGAGAGAGAGAGAGAGAGAGAGATAGCCAAAACGAAACACGTAAATTCTTGTCTTCTAGTTTACATGAGTCAATGCCCACACTGTTATAAAATATCTTTTATAACTGAACATGATTAACGAAGCAAAAGTATTTTCAGTCACATGGTTTTATAGATTATTGTTCTATAAAATATAACAAAATGAGTGTGGGCGTTTGAAATTGTGTAATGGTTAACAAGCCCTCTCTCGCTAGTTCAATCGAATGTATGTAGTGAGTTCGAACCCTACTTTTGCCCTTGTACCATATTTAACCTACGTCGAGAAAATCATTTTGGGCACTTCAGTATAGTGTAATGCTTGGCAAGCTTTTCTCGCTAGACCAGTTACCACTGAGTAGTGAGTTCGATCCTCACTGGATGCTTCAAAGTTTCGGCCTTGTATTAATCTTAAAATATCACCAGAACTGGCCCTTTCGATGTAGTGTAATGCTTTGTAAGCTTATATCGCTGCATCAGTTACAAGTGTGCAGTGAGTGCAATCCTCACTGGGTGCCCCTACTTTCGTCCTTGTGCCATGTCTTAGCGTTAATTAGGATAGCGTAATATCAAAATACGTAGTCGGTGTAAACTTTACCATTGCTTGTTGGCATTGAAAATGAAATATTTTGAAGTGTCCAAATATTGTTCCTCTTTCTCTCTCTCTCTCTCTCGCTCTCTCTCTCTCTCTCTCTCTCTATATATATATATATATATATATATATATATATATGTATGCGCTCACAGGTGTGAGTGGGTGCCTGTGTATGTGTGTGAGATACTTCTCTTTCTCTCCGTTTCTCCCTCTTTCTATATATATGTATATATATATATATATATATATATATATATATATATATATATATATATATATATATATATATGTAAATATATTTACACACAAACACACACACACTCACACACACACACATATATATATATATATATATATATGTGCTCACATGAGTGGGTGTTGTATATGCGTTTGAGATACTTCCCTTTGGCTCCCTCTCTCTCCCCCTCTCTCTCTATGTATATATATATATATATATATATATATATATATATATATATATATGTATGCGCTCACAGGTGTGAGTGGGTGTCTGTGTATGCGTATGAGATACTTCGGTGAACATATGAATCTTTTATGAAGGCTACTAAAAAAATACTCCCTCCCCTTGATTTCCATTATTCATTCGCACAGTGATTTGCAAGTTAATGAAAAATCGTGATGAGTTGCTAGCTGTGGCTGAGCCACAAGAGGTCGCTATATTCCGCGTCGTAAAACAAGTAATTCGAGCGTTCGATTCTAGTAATTTGACCATATCAATAAGCAATAATCGATACGCATATTGATGCCAGTGTCCAAGGAGATAGAAAAGGAATTAAAATGGATTTTTTTTTCTGTGTGTGAATATTAGAAAAATAAAATGTTATATATCATTCTTTACAAGTTTAAATATACTGCATCAGTAACATATTTGGCCGGTCAAAAGTATATTGCTACTTTCTCTATAATTAAAACAGATTTTATTAGTAGAAGCCCTGGAAATATACGTTAAAATTAACACTAAATAGTATTATTCCTGATCGAAAATGTTTTATTTACTTGTGAATCTTTGTATAAAGCTGGCTGATAGATTATGCCAGTTCTTTAATTAAAATAAATTGAATAGTTAAATTGCTAGGTCCGCTTCTAAGAAAGTTGCTTTATTGTGTCGTGCAAGACGTGTTTCTCTCTAGTATTTATTTTATTTATTTATCTATCATTAGTCCATGCTTTGAATATTTCTGCCACATATGTTCTTGTGTTCTTGCCCTATATTTAGAGATTCTTGATAAAATCCTGACCTGGCATCTCGGGTTCAGTTCCTACCCATCGCCTTAATGTAACTTCCCTGTCCCTATTCTCACTCTAGAACTTAACTGGAATACAAAATAATAATAATAATAATAATAAACAGGAAAATATTTGGTTATTCGTACCGCTCCATATCTGACTCCTCCTACCATGCTATATATATATATATATATATATATATATATATATATATATATATATATATATATATATATATATATATATGGTTAAAAGACGGAAGATCAAACAAAGATGGAGCATTGATGTCATATCTGGACAGAAACTACTTTATTCTCATTTCGCCATCTTGTCAGAGTTCAGGAAATGTCTACATAGCTTTGTGGTTGATGAATTATTTTCGACCGTATAACCTCTTATCCACGGACGAAATATCACACGGATATCGCTAATCTATCGCTAATTCACTAAATGTTTTGATGTGGCTACATTCCTTATTTACACCAGTTCAGACATTTACAGCTATAGTAAAAAAATTATGTTATTTATTTGACATAGTTTATTTTCAAGATATTGCGACTCAGCAATTGGATAGTCTTATGGTTTATATTTTCTTGTTCAAGCAAATAAGCATGCACTTTCATATTCTTAGTAAATATATATTCAAATGATACCACAATGTATGGGTGCACTTCCAAATATCCTGATGACAAGTGTATAGCAGCTGATCTCGCCTGTAGCCTAACTTTCACATGTCAATGGTGGGGGTGACTGGGTGAAAATAAAATAAAATCCTGACCTGGAATCTCGGTTTCATTTCTACCCACCGCGTTAATGTAGCTTTCCTGTCCATATTGTCACCCCCAAACCTCAAGTGGAACGCAAAACTGAATACAGCACTAGATAAACCCGAAAAGTGTTTGGATATTCGTACTGCTCCAGAGAGTATCTGACTCCTCCTACTATGCTACATATTTGCGAGACGGCAGATCAAACAAAGATGGAGCATTGATGTCATATCTGGGCAGGAGCTACTTTATTCTCACTTCGCCATCTTGTCAGAGTTCAGGAAATGTCTACATAGCTTTGGGGTTGATGAATTATTTTCGACCGTATAACATCTTACCCACGGACGAAATATCACACGACTCTCGCTAATGTATCGCTATTTCACTAAATGTTCTGGTGTGGCTACATTTTTTATTTACACCAGTTTAGAAATTTACAGCTATAGTAAAAAAAAATTACATTATCTATTTGACATAGTTTGGCATAAGACATAATTTTCAAGATCTTGCCACTCAGCAATTGGATAGTCTATCGGTTTATACAGTGTAACCCGGATATAAGAGACCCGGATATAAGAGAAACCCGGATATAAGATAGATTTTCTCTGGTCCCAAATTAGAGCCTGTGTTAATGCATATAAAATAGACCAAACCCGGATATAAGAGAAACCCGGATATAAGAGAGATTTTCTCTGGTCCCAAATTAGAGCCTGTGTTAATGCATATAAAATAGACCAAACCCGGATATAAGAGAAACCCGGATATAAGAGATTTTCTCTGGTCCCCAAATTAGAGCCTGTGTTAATGTATATAAAATAGACCAAACCCGGATATAAGAGAAACACGGATATAAGAGAGATTTTCTCTGGTCCCAAATTAGAGCCCGTGTTAATGTATATAAAATAGACCAAACCCGGATATAAGAGAAACCCGAATATAAGAGAGATTTTCTCTGGTCCCAAATTAGAGCCTGTGTTAATGTATATAAAATAGACCAAACCCGGATATAAGAGAAACCCGGATATAAGAGAGATTTTCTCTGGTCCCAAATTAGAGCCCGTGTTAATGTATATAAAATAGACCAAACCCGGATATAAGAGAAACACGGATATAAGAGAGGTTTTCTCTGGTCCCAAATTAGAGCCCGTGTTAATGTATATAAAATAGACCAAACCCGGATATAAGAGAGATTTTCTCTGGTCCCAGATTAGAGCCTGTGTTAATGCATATAAAATAGACCAAACCCGGATATAAGAGAAACTCGGATATAAGAGAGGTTTTCTCTGGTCCCAAATTAGAGCCCGTGTTAATGTATATAAAATAGACCAAACCCGGATATAAGAGAGATTTTCTCTGGTCCCAGATTAGAGCCCGTGTTAATGCATATAAAATAGACCAAACCCGGATATAAGAGAAACTCGGATATAAGAGAATTCTTCTCCGGTCTCGACAACTCTCTTATATCCGGGTTACACTGTATATTCTTGTTCAAGCAAATAAGCATGCACTTTCATATTCTTAGTAAATATATATCCAGATGATACCACAGTGTATGCTTGATGACAAATACTTGATGACAAGTGTATAGTAGCTGATCTCGCCTGTGGCCTAACTTTCACATATCAATGGTTGGGGTGACTGGGTGATATCATTCAATGCATACAAAAATAAACTAATATTATTCCAGCACCACCGATCAGAATGTAAACCTTCATCAATGTTGATAAGTGGTCATATCATCAATGAGGCCCCTTACCTCCAATGTCTACTGCGTCTAAAACCAACCGCGGACCACAAATGTTCTATTTGCCCATGCCAAACGATGCTGAAGGAATGGTTAGTTCAGTGTACCATTCCAGAAAACACCCAACTCCCGTTGCCATGCTCTATCATTAGAAGAGACAGTTCAGAACAAGAATGAAGTATTACTGCCATAACTAGCCTGTTGCTGCTCAGTCCTCATTGCCCAGCCTCGACAGCGTTCAAAAG